GAAAATTACAGAAATGCAGGACAAAGCAGCACTGGAAAGAGAGATGAGTCGAACAAGCAGAAATCCGAGCACTCCACACCTGAGGCCCGAGAGCAACATTTTAGAACTTCCCGCCTTCCCGGTTCCGTAATCCAAGAGCTCATTTAAATATCATCACTAAAGGGAAAAATCAGACGGAAACTAGATCTATTTCTGCAAAGTCCTTGTTTACGATGTTTCGTGTTATCTGCCCCGCCCCCAATCTGCTAGTCTAAAGGAATGAGTCGACAGCCTCTGCACCCCAAAATTCAAAATCATGCCCTAAGGCATAACTGCTATCCCCTGCCCAGTTTCAGTCTCCCTCTGAAAAGTATACAAATAATAGAAAAAGGAGTTGAGGAAAACTGGTAGAGCTAACCAAACCAACTGGCTGCAGGTGCAGATACCTGCCTTGATGGGGAAAAACTATAGGGTCAGATAAGGAGACGCATTTCACTTGCGACACGTGACTTAGGTTAGCTGGCAGGAAAGTCTTCTGAAGAGAAGGTATGGTCAAACACCAGATGAGGAAAGCTAGGAAATCTTAGGATAAAGAGAACACTAATAATCTGATCTGGGAAAAGGTCCATTCTGTACGGAATCAGGGAAGACAGAATTCGAGAGGGCCCTTGCCAGCAGAGGCAACTTAGAACATGTGCATGGACTCAAACCCCCAATCCATCTTCGTCAGCTGCTTGAGGGCACCCTGCCTCCCATCTTTCTAATTACTCTAGCGTAAGTGGATAGGTGGACACGGATTCTTTATTCCAGTTCGATCCTTTGCTTCTTGATTTCCCCTTTCCATAACTAGTTGTCAATATTCTAACTCTAACCAAGTCGTGTCAACGGAGTAAAAGAACAGCAGCAAATATCTAGATTAAAAAAGACCCTAAATCTGCCACTAGGCTCCCTCAAATATCTGGATAATCGCATTCTTCCTCTGCTTCACAGGGAAGACCTGGCTTCTCAAAGGTCTGACTTTCTTCACAGGGAGACCCCCTCCTCTTCTTCTGACCGGGTGACAGCTCCCCTAGACCTCTGATATAATTTATACCTTGCCGGGGACCAACTCTTTCCCACCACTGTGAAGGAGAGGGAAAAAATATATATAAATACGTCGGAAATCTATAACGAGGTCTTCTTGGAGGGCAAGACATGGAGAGAGTTAGAAGCAGCGTCAATTGCTCTTTGGGGGTTTTAGTTCAAGCCGGGGTCTGCTTCCAGCAATCAACCATTAAAACAAGCCGGCCAGAGTAACAGCACAGTTTATTCTGATCATTTAATTTGAAGTGTCAATAAATTAAACTTCAATCAATTAAACTAGGTGTGCAATAACCCAGATGGACACCCCGACACCAACATAATCACAATAAAAATTTTTATGGCTGCCAGGGACCTCACCGGGGGCAGTGCTGGCACAGCTCGCGCCCTAGCTGAGAAATATATCTCCACAGCGCAGGAACGAGGAGATTGCTTCTCCTAACGAAATGGAGGGGCCAGGCACCGGCAAGGACGCAGCTGGGAGAGGGGCACTGGGGACTGCCAGGAACGAGATGGGAGTGCTTTGGGGGCTTAATGTAATTGATACCTTTGCCCAGAGCAGGGGGAGGGGGCATTCAGGCCAAGTACCTCTACTGTTAGTGCCAAAGGAATTTAACAAAAGCCCCATTACGATGATTCAAGAAGCGAAGGCCACAGAGCAATAGCAACCTTTAAGTCCTTGATGTATTCTGCATAGTTTCCTCCTCCATCTAGATGCACGCTCTTGTGCACTCTGGATGCCCTGATTTTTGAAGGAGGCTGAGAATTTGGGATATGGTCCTTGTTTTACGAAAGGATGTTGTAAAGGGAGAGAAAGAATGGAATTAAGTCTAGTCTGAAAAGCACTGGAAAAACACTCAGAATGAATCCAGAGAGGATTAGGAAAAATGAAACCTATGAGGAAAGATTTAAGGATCTAGACTGCTAGAGTAATTCAGCTTTGGGGGTGGGGGGGGGGGGAAGGAGGAAGGGGATAAGTCATTATCTTTAAGATTTCATAGGTTATTAATGGAGAATGGTGACCTGCAGAGATCCCTCTCCATTCACAGCGAAGAAAGGGAGCACCAGCAGGAAACAGCAGGAGAGAGGAAGCTAAGTCCAAAGATGCAGGCTGGGAGCACTATTAAACACTGGGAAGGAAGTCGATGAAAGGGTCTCTTTCCTTAGAGACTACAAGAGGACCTGAGAAAGATTAGACAGATCTGCTTGAAACCTTGAGCTAGATTACTTCATTCAAAGAGAAAAGTGACCCACCGTAAAATACCTAAATGAAGGGAACCTACCGGTATTTAGAAAATCCCATAATCAGATCAAGTTTCGGCAGATGTTTCTCCATGACGCCCTCTAGATTACCCTTCCCTTCTTCTCAATGGCTGTGTGCCTTGTAGAGGTGAGGATAGAAGAATATACATTCATCAGATTTCTGCAGAGGTCCAGCTGAACCAGGAAACAGAAATGTGAGAGTAGGAAGCCTATGAGAACTTTAGAGGTATCTGCCCTCCTTAAGGTGCAGTCTGTTAACTATTATCAGTAAACTCTAATTCAGTAGAGAGCTAAGGTAAGATCCAGGGATACCTCACACTTTTCACAAAGATGGTGATTTAAGTAATCAGGAGATGCGGCTGAGAAACGAAGGAAGGGATGAGGTTACAAAGGACCAGAGCAGAAGGGTGATTCTGATTCTGATGGAGCTAAATTCCGTGAGCCAGTGTGTGAGGGTAGAGAGAAATAAAAATTTAGGCAGTATCACCTGATTCTCAATCAGGGTTCCTCATCTGAAGCACTGAATACTGAAAACTATTTAAATGACTACCTTTTTTTTTTTTTTTCAACTTCTCCCAAGGATGGTACAAACTAGTGCCATTGTGGCTACAGAGAAATTGATTCATTACATTAATGAATGCCTTAAGGCTTACTTCTCTCCTAAAGCTCTGGCTAAGGCAGGCTGGAAAGATGAGAAAGATATATAAATTCTTCACTGGGGGCCCAAATGATAATGAAATTGTGAAGAGTTGATACAGAGGAAGGAAAAGATTAGTTCAATATCATAAGAACTTTGGAAACCAGCACATGAATTGATACCTGTTAGTACTTTGTCCCCAACAAAAGCTTTAATAACTGATGTTTAAAAGTACAATTCTGCACACTGGAGTGGTAGAAAGTCCATGAGGAGAAAACCTGGTAACAACAGAGAGAGACTTGGTCTGACAGGATGAGGAATCAAAAGAAAGAGAGAGCACGAGTGGGGCAAGGGCAAAGAGAGGGAGACACAGAATCCTAAGCAGTCTCCAGGCTCCAAGCAGTCAGCACAGAGCTGGCGAGGGAGCTCGAACTCACGAACCTGAAGATCGTGACCTGAGCTGAAGTCGGACGCTCAACCAACTGAGCCACTCAGTGACCCAGAATCAATATGGTTTTAAAAGCAAAGGTCAGGAGTCCCTGACCGAGGTAGCAGAAATCTTGGGTACTGATCAAAATGGATACAAGGAAGGGGCAGATTGAAATAGACTTCAAAAAGAAAGCAGAGACTGAAAACTGAGGTAAGAGAAAATGTGTGAGACTTTCACATATTCCTCTCACAACTTACCACTACACACAGATTCCTTATTAAGAGGGCTTCCCAAGCATCATGTCCCTCACTCCTATACATCTAAGCAGACTCCTTGTAAACAAATGTAGGGAGCATTTTAAAAATTCCTAAAAACTTTCAAAGAAACCAATTCCCTGGAATTTATCCTAGTCTGTTATCCGGTTAAGAATACTGGCTAACTGCCTGGTACAGAAAACTTATTAAAAACTATCCAGGAGGTGCCTGGCTGGCTCAGTTGGTGGAGTCTGCGGCCCTTGATTTCCAGGTCGTGAGTCAGAGCCAAAACACTGGGTGCAGAGATTACTTAAAAAATAAAAAAAAATTAAAAATAAAAAAAACCTCATAAGGTTGCTACCTAGACTTGACCAATTCACCTGATGAGAAGGAATTATCCCTATCTTTGCCATTTCGAAGGAAATCAAACCTGTTATTCTGATGAAAATCTGGATATGCACATGTATTAGAGCAGAAAAAGATGCAAGAAAACATCTTTAAAAAGGAAGGAGGTAGGGTGCTGAATTCCTAAATACATACATATTAACATCTCCACACTGTAAAACAGAGCACTTTAGAGAGAAATCCTCTAGTCCAGTTATAAAGAAAGGTAATAGTATTTTAACAGGCAAAAGGGATCATATGGGTAAGGAAGCTAAAACACTCCTTTAGCCACCGAAATTCTCATATAACCAGAGGGACAGTTAGCATCCCAGATCTTGCCGTAAGAATCTCTAAGGTTTTAGTGGGGAGAAAAAATGAGAACAGAGTAAGGAGTCTGGGAAAATATTCTCTAATCCGTGCTAACTTTATCAGGGATTCCAGAACTTTTACCATGACAAAACTACCTAATAGGGATTAACAGGAGACCGAAGTAAAAGGAAAACCGTTTTCTAAGATATGTTAACAGAACTGTCAACGGAGAGTCAAACTATGACAACCACCAGGAGGACCCTGTGATGACAAACGACTGAAGTCTAGTCTTAGAATTTGGGGTCAGTTTGGGGGTTTGGAGAAATTCAAATCAGAGTATCTTCCATAATGCTCAGAATCAGGGGAAGCCTAAAGGACCCCAATCCAGTACGCTTACGATCCTATGCGTTCTAAGGACTCCACGTGCTCCCTTCAACTTTCCACGGATTCCGCCCTCTCCCCGGAAGAGCTCCCTACTCTAAACCGAGGCTTTACCTCCTACAGTTCCTACACTAGGCCACACGCTTATTCCAGGGGCTGGCGGAAGCTTCGGTCCCCGAGGATTACCCGGAATTCCCCTTTCTACCCCTCCCCAGGCTGGTTGAACCCCAACTCCCGGCCCCTCTGGACACCACAGCATCTCGGCTGCCCCTCCGGCTCCTACCAAAATCAGCGCCTCCATCTTGCCCCGCAGCTGGTGCCGACGTGGAGCCGCAAAAGCAACACCGCCGCTGATTGGCCCTACGTCCTCACTAGACCCCGCCCAGAAGGAGGATTACTGGACTATAGCGTACCAGCTATTGCTCTATTGGCCAATCAGTGTACTAGCTTGCTTAGCGGAAGCAAGGTGTCCAGCCAGAAGACGCAGGCATTTGATTGTCAGTTTAAACACTCAATACAAGGCCAAAACCTCATGGTTGAATGGGGCGGGAGGGTCAGTGGGGCGGGGTTGTTTCCATGGGGAACAGAGGAAGCGATTGTTAATTTTCAATTGGTGGAGAGGAAACCACGTGATATCGTAGGTCTGATTTTTTTTTTTTTTTTAGCTGCTTTAATCCGCACTCCCTTTAGAGGGCGCTGGGTCTCCTTAGCCCTGAACGCTGACAGCTCGTGACGGAATCATACCCTAATCCCTATTCCAAGCACCATATTTTAGGTAGGCCCTTGATATCCAAGGTTGCTTTAGCAAACACTGCTAGCTCTTCCCTCAGACTTGCTGAGTTCAGCATCCTCACAGAAAGTCTGTACAACCACAGAGTAAAACCAAGGGATGCCCAGTGTATTAAATAAAACAAGGCCACTGGGAGTTAACTGCTACAGTAACAATTTCCCCAAGATGGAGTCCCAGGCTTTGCTGGGCCCAAGGAAGGACAAGAAGCCAATGAGTTTCTAAAAGCAGATTTTCTTTGACCGGACGTGAAACGGGATGTTAGAGCTTTGAAGACTAGAGAGGAGAGAGTAGGAGGGGACAGAGGGGTAGAGGGTCCAAGATCAGGAAGGGTGTAGGGAACAGGGTCTGCGGTTTTCCAGTAGGGACAAACTGTTGCAAAACGAGAAAAGAGAAGTTTACTAAATGCAGGGATTTCACAATATGGAAAGGTTTTGATGAAGTCTAGCTTTCCCCTACCCTTAGGTTCCTTGGTCCTGATACCCTTTAGGTCAGGGACACCGATTGCCTTATAGCATCTCTACACGGATTCCCCCCCCCCCCGCCCCCCCCCCCCCCCCCCATTTCTGACAATTCTGTCTTCAGGAGCTCTCCAAGAAGAGTATCCAAACCTATCCAGGAGTTTTAGTTTTTCCAATAATTTCAGAGAAGAGTCAGAGGGCCTAAAATAAATGTATAGAACGATACAAACTACAGACTACAGAGCTAGCATATGCTATGAAGGAAGGTATATGATTTTCTGGTAAAGTCCCAGGTGACAAGCCTCACATCTGGAGAAAGTGAGGGCTTAGGCTTTATCTGTTCCAAATGTCCAAATGGGGAGTTATTCAAATATTTAGTTAGGATGGTGCCTGGCATCACAAGGTTATTCTTACCTTGGCAGCTTAATGATAAAACTAACATTTGGGGTGCTTGTGTGGCTCGGTGGGTTAAGCATCTGACTCTTGATTTTGGCCCAGGTTATGATCTCACGGTTGGTGAGTTTGAGTCCCTCCTCAATGTCAGTGCTTAGGATTCTCTTTCTCCTCCCTCTCTCTGCCCCTCCCATGCTCATACATGTGCACTCTCTCAAAATAAATACATTAATTTAAAAAAAAAACTAACACTTAATGACTGTCTACTACGTGCTAGTCACCTGCTAAATCTTGAATACATTATTTAATATTTTTAGTAAAGTTTTATGAAGTAGATGGTTATCATTCCCATTTAATAGATGAGAAAAGTAGAGTTTGGAGGAATAATCTACTTAAGACCATACAACAATTAATTGGCAGCCGTACATTCCAACATAGGAGGTCTGGTTCTAAAACCATGTTCTTACCTACAATCCACTCTTCTGATTTGTGGTACAGCCTCTTGTGTCTTCCAGTCCCACCTGAAGTAACTTACAGCAGTGCTAGATGTTCTATAAGGCCAAGAGGAGGAAAACTGGGGAAGGAGGAGGATCCTTTTTCCTTAACAGAGTAACTGGCAAATTTTAACAGTCAGACATTGTTTCAAAAGATGGTTTATTCTTTGCTCTCCAGGCTATTAGGTGACTGTGCTGTAGGGAGAAGACAACTGGCTGGATAAGAGACATTAATTCTTGTAGTGACTTTGTCTTAATAAATGGAAGATTTCTGGGGCACCTGGATGGCTCCGTCGACAGAGTGTGCGGCTCTTGGTCTCAGGGTTGTGAGTTTGAGCTCCACATTAAGGACAGAGATTACTGAAAAATAAAATCTTTGAGAGCACCTGGGTAGCTCAGTAGGTTAAGCAACTAACTTTCAATTTCGGCTCAGGTCATGATCTCATGGTTCATGAATTCAAGCCCCACTTTGGGCTCTGTACCAACAGCGTGAAGCCTGCTTGGGATTCCTGTCTCCCTTTCTCTTTGCCCCTCCTGTGCACGCACTCTCTCTCTCTCAAAAATAAATGAATAAAAATTTTTAAAAGTAAAAATTAAATAAATAAAATAAAATCTTTGGGGCACCGGGGTGGCTCAGTTGGTTAAGCATTCAACTCTTTATCTCAGCTTAAGTCTTGATCCCAGGGTCAGGATTTCAAGCTCCATGTTGGGTTCCAGGCTGGGCATGAAGCTTACTTAAATAAAAAATTGTTTTTAATCTTAAAAAAAAAATAATTGGGAGACTTCTGGTAAGTCATTGTACCCTCTCTGGACTATAGCTGCCACTTCTGGGAAATGGGGAGGCTCAGACCAGAGCTTTTTTTTTTTTTTTTTTTTTTTTAGATTTTATTTTTCAGGATGCCTGGCTGGATCAGTTGATAGAGGTCTGAATTTTGATCTCAGGATCACAAGTTCGAGCTCCATGTTGGGGGGTCTTAAAAAATAAAATCTTTTCTTTTTATTTCTTTTTAAAGATTTTTAAATTTTATTTGTAAGTCATCTCTACCCCCAACATGGGGCTCAAACTCAGAACCTTAAGATCAAGAGTTGCACACTGTACTGATTGAGCCAGCCAGGTACCCCCCACCAGAGATTTCTAGAGCCCTATCTAGAGTTAAAGTTCTATGATCATTCCTGATCCTTTCGCTTTCATCTCCCTTTCACCTGAAAAATCTTTAGCATCAATCAAATAGGAAATGCATACATCCCTCACCCCCCATATATATATACACACATAATATAAAATCATGTATATACGGTTAAAAAGAATTTATTAAAAATGGAGAAAAAGACTGAAAGAAAACATACCAAAATGTAATTTAGTGGTGTTTTTGAAAGGCTAGGGCTTTTTTCAATGTTTCCATATTTTCTGGGTGTTCTAAAATGTGTGAGTGGTGAGGCTCCTGTGTGGCACAGTCAGTTTTGAGCGTCTGACTCTTGATTTCAGCTCAGATCATAATCCCAGGGTCTTGGATCTGAGCGCTGCGCTGCGCTCTGAGCTGAGTGCAGAGCCTGCTTAAGATTCTATCTCTCTCTCCCTCCGCCTCTCTCCCCTGCTCCAATGCTCGCTCGCTCTCGCTCTCTCTCCCTCCCTCCCTAGAATAATAAATGAAGGGGCACGTGGGGGGCTCAGTCAGTTAAATGTGACAGACTTCAGCTCAGGTCATCATCTCATGGTTTGTGGGTTCAAGCCCCGCGTCAGGCTCTGTGCTACAGCTCGGAGCCTGGAGCCTGCTTCAGATTCTGTCTCCCTCTCTCTCTGCCTCTTACCCACTTGCGCTCTGTCTCTCTCTCTCTCTATCTTTCTCTCTCTCTCCTACTTTCTCTTTCTCTCTCTCTCAAAAATGGACATTAAACATTTTTAAAATATATTAAATGAATAAAAAATTAAGTAGATAAACTTTTAAAGTATGTGAATGCTATTTTAAAAGAAGACAAATAAGCTCTTTAAAAAAGCTTAATAAGCTATTTTTTTTTGAAAGTTAAAAATTTTTATTCTTTTTTTTTTTTTTTACAAATAGTTTATTGTCAAATTAGTTTCCACATAACACTCAGTGCTCATCCCCACAAGTGTCCTCCTCCATGCCCATCCCCCCCTCCCCCCCACATCCATCAGTCCTCAGATTTTGTCAGCATTCAAGAGTCTCTCAGGGTTTGCCTCTCTCCCTTTCCCCCATCATTTCCGCCCTTCTTCTCCCCCTTGTTCCTCCGTCAAGTTCCTCCTAATCCTCCTATACGTGCACACATATGATATTTGTCCTTCTCTGCCTGACTTATTTCGCTCAGCATAACACCCTCAAGGTCCATCCATGTTGCTACACATGGCCAGATTTCATTCTTTCTCATTGCCATGTAGTATTCCATGGTATAGATAAACCACATCTTCTTGATCCATTCATCTGTTGATGGACACTTAGGCTCTTTCCATGTTTTAGCTATTGTGGAGAGTGCTGCTATGAACATTGGGGTACACGTGCTCCTATGCCTCAGCATTTCTGTATCCCTTGGGTAAATTCCTAGCAGTGCTATTGCTGGGTCATAAGGGAGTTCTATTGTTAGTTTCCTGAGGAAGCTCCACACTGTTTTCCAGAGGGGCTGTACCAGTTTACCTTCCCACCAACAGTGTAGGAGGGTGCCCGTTTCTCCACATCCTCGCCAGCATCTAGAGTTCTCTGATTTGCTCATTTTAGCCACTCTGACTGGCGTGAGGTGGTATCTCAGTGTGGTTTTGATTTGTATTTCCCTGATGAGGAGGGATGCTGAGCATCGTAATAAGCTATTTTTTAAAGGACAAAATCAACTTCTTCCCATGAAGCCTTCTCTGAAGTCCCCCGGTGGAGTTAGGTGACTCCTCTTTCTTGATATTGTCGACTCTTGTCATAGCCATGTTATAACACATCAACCTAACACATTAGACTTTGTCATCTATGTCCCCTGTATTTTATTTCTTTTGCATCCTAACCCTCAAATGGTAACACTCAAACAGTGTTTACTGAAAGGGATGAACATCTGTGAAAATGCAAGACACAAAGACGAATGAACAGGGTCAAAGGGAACTTTAGAATTAAAAGACAAAGACCACAGATATTGAGAAGGGGGTGATCCCTCAGGATTGATTGGGGAAGGTGCTCAAGGTCTGAGAGAAGAAGAGGCATTGAGTTAGGTCTTGC